GGCTGCCTGTCCTGTGGCCCACTTGGTCCCCGTTTGGGGGGCTTCTCACTGTGACCGTGGCACCCTCGGAGCCCTGGAAGGTCTTCTGGTGGCCTGCTCTCTGTTGAATGCGTGTGGTGGGGGATGTGGGCAGAGATGCGAGGGACCAGAGGAACCGGCCATCCGTGAGTATTTCTGGCGCCCACGTTTCAGCTACCTGACCGTCCACCCAAGGCTGGGGCGCTCTGGGCAGATCCTATGCAACGAGGGGCTGCCGACATAACATCTTGCAATTTCACACTCTTCCGAGAAGGGAACAGAGTGGCCATTTACTGACAGCCCTTGCTGTCCCCACAACAGCCTGTCCAGGAGTCCCACACCGCCCTTTTCCAGGGGAGAAACCCGAGGCTTGGACAGGCACCCGGAAAGTAAATGGTAGAGGCAGGATGCAATCCCAGACCTCGCTTACTCCAGAGTGGAGTTCTATGCCCTTCAAGACCTCCCCACCCCAGAAGTCTTTCCTCCGCAACGGACAGGCTCCTCCATGCCGAGGGGAGCTGGGACACAGAGGGGAGGGCTCAGAGACAGGGTTTCTCACACCCATCTGGACGACTCTGTACACTCCTTGGCCATGAACGGCTCTGCTGGACCCTGTTTCAGGTTTTCTTGGCCGACAGAGCCCCACAAAGGGTGTCCCCCATCTCTCCTCTCACCCCAGGTGCTCTCTGGAGCACCTGTCCTCTCCTGAGATCATCTCAGGCACGTTCCCACTTGGCGCTCTCTCTGTACTCCTCCCAGCCTCAAGGTCCTGCTATGCATTAACCAGGCCTACTCCCCCCATACGCTTATACTTAACCAATTTTCAAAGGCCAGAGGGGCGCTCAGCACAAGGAGGCAATGATGGCATTTTTTGCAGCCCCGACCTGCCATTTCCATTATTAGGCCAGGCCCCAACCCTCCCACGGGACTTGCTGCTCACAGGCTCTGGGATGTTAGGCTGCCATGGACTCAGCTGCCCAAGCCTGGACGTCTGAGCTTGCCAGCACAGAGAGATCAGTGTTTCCTGGCACCGACTGCATGCCAGGCCACAGCATCTCATTTGTGATGAATAGGCCCACAGTCTAGGGGTCATCTGGTCCACTGGTTCCCAACCCCGGATGAGCATGAGAATCGTCTGCATACCTTGTAAAAAATTCCCAGGCCCCTTCCAACCTGATGCATTAGCATCTCTGGGAGTGGGGCAAGGATCTCTCCCCATCCCTGGGATAGTGGGACACTGGTTTTTGATGACTAAGTTTTATGTGTTCACGTGGCCAGGCTACGGCACCTTGTAACTTACTCAAACATGAATGGAGGTGTTGCTGTGAAGGTATTTTGTAGATGTGGCTAAAGTCTACAAATCAATTGACTTTAAAGGAGATTACCTTTGGCAATATGGGTGGGCCTCATCCAATCAGTTGAAGGGCTTAAGAGTAGCAAAAAAGTTTCCCGGAGAAGAAATTCCATTTCGAGACTAAAGCATCAACTCCTGCCTGACTTTCCAGCCTGCTGGCCTGCCCTACAGATTCTGGATTTGCCAGCTACCACAATCACACAGACCATTTCCTCAAATTAAATCTTCTTTATAAAGAACTAAAATAAAATAATTTCTTTTTTTATTTTTATTTTTAAAAAAAATTTTTTAACGTTTATTAATTTTTGAGACAGAGAGAGACAGAGCATGAACGGGGGAGGGGCAGAGAGAGAGGGAGACACAGAATCGGAAGCAGGCTCCAGGCTCTGAGCCCTCAGCCCAGAGCCCGACGCGGGGCTCGAACTCACGGACCGAGAGATCGTGACCTGAGCTGAAGTCGGACACTTAACTGACTGAGCCACCCAGGCGCCCCTAAAATAATTTCTTTATACAGATACACACACATACACACACACACACACACACACACACACACACACACACATCTCCTATTGGTTCTATTTCTTCTATTTCTCTGGAGAACCTGACTGATGCAGTGATCAGCTGGGCTGGAGATCCTGGGCTCCTCTGGCCCCTGCACTGCCTTCTATCCTTGAGAAGCATGAACACCTACTGAACACAGCACACCCCTCTGCCCAGAGGCCTCCCCTCTTCTGGAAAGCCTGGCTGCATCATTGGGCGCTTTGATTTTTTTTTCTTTCTCAAGCAGCACCCGTGGGTATCATACACACACACACACACACACACACACACACACCCCAACATCATAAAGTTTAAAATCCATAATGTGCCTTACAAATCACCCTGTCCCCCCTTGTTTTACAGATGAGGAAACTGAGGTCCCAGACCTGGCACCCATGCCTGCATCGCTCTGACTTCATTTCCTACTACCCCCCATTAACATGTCCTTCTTCTTTTTTTTATGTTTATTTTTGAGAGAGAGAAAAAAAAATGATGAGTGGGGGAGGGGCAGAGAGAGAGCAAGACAGAGCGAGACAGAGGATTTGAAGCCAGCTTTGCACTGAGAGCAGAGCCCAATGTGGGGCTCAAACTCACAAACTGAAGTCATGACCTGAGCTGAAGTCAGGCGCTCAACTGACTGAGCCACCCAGGAGCCCCAACATGTCCTTCTTCTGTTTCTCAGACCCACTAGGTACTGTGGATGTAGGGCCTTCCCCTCCAGATTCTTCCCTTCCTTAGGTCTTGGGCTCAGTCACCTTGTCAGCGAGTCCCTCCTTGACCTCGATACATAAAATAGCAGGCTTCCCCTCTGCCATTGCTTTCTCCCCCCTTCACCCTGCATTGGGTTTCTTTGTAGTACTTATCATTTCCTGATATCTTTGTACATTTATTTGCTATTTTCCGGGTCCCATCAGTTGAGGGTAAGTTCCATGAGGGCAGGCACTTGGTTTGCTGTGTTCACGCCCAGTGCCTAGAACAGAGCTCAGCACACAAACAGGGCTCTAGAATGAAGACCTTGGATGATTCCTAACCTCCAAGCAGGGCTCACACTCAGGATTCTGACTTCTCATCTGTCTCCTGCCCCGTGCGTCTGCCACGCCACATGATGTGGCAGTCAGTCATTATTCTTTGACTACTCTCATTTTTCTCTGATGGCTTCCCATGCTTTGAAAGCACCTGCCATGCAGTGACCTGAGTCCGTGGTGCTGTTGGGGGGGGGGGGGTTCAGTGTGGTGGCATGGGTGGGAAGGGAAGGAGGGAAGGACTGTCTTTTTTCTTTATCAGAACGTTTACTCTCATGAGACTGAAGGATGAGAAGCAGGGAGACCCCTGTGGGTCTTTGATAAAGTGAGAGGGTAAAGATGGGAAGACGTCAGTGGGGCCATGGGAGGCTCAGAGCAGCTTTCGCTGGAGCTAAGAAGGGAGAGCAGCTCTGGGCGGTGGTCAGCTCTGGTGGGGGCAGGGCAAAAGGCTGGAGGCAGCTCTAGTTTGTCATCCTCCAAAAGATCCCTGGAAGGAGCACGAGGTTTCCGGCCCCCCAGCCCTCTAAGACCAAGCCTGGGCTGAGTGCAGGAATCCGAGCATCCGCACGCTTAATTGCGTGTGGGAGGTAAAAGCTTTCCCTATTTGTTCGGACCCAAGGAGACTTTTTAATAGCAGCTTGGTGGCAGTCCTTTCTACCTTGTCTGGACCACCCTGCCTGTGAGCTGCAGAGCAGATGGTAGAGGGACCTGGTCACGGAGCTGTGTGCTTGCACAGTCAACATCCTGAGACCCCCTCCCACCCCAGCATGCCTCAGATCGGAGAGAACGTCCTCTGCCTTTCCACTCGGAACGTGGGCTTGCACCTTCTACCCCTACTAGCCCAGCCAGGCCTCTGAGCTTTCCTTATGGCCCTGGGGACTTTGGAGGAGAGGCTTTCCCTTTCCCTGTGAAGTGGGTGGTAATAGAGATGATCTCATAAGATCATGGTCATGGTTAACGATCTAAACTCCATGTCATGTAGATACTGCATCCCAATTGCCCTTGAGTGTTCCAGCCCTCACAGATCAGTGAGGTTCCTCCTTTGGGCATTAGGGAAACCCCAACCTCCTTAATTCTAACACACGTGGCATTGTCGTAGTCTCCACTAGACTATAATCTCTGGCTCTTTGAGAGCAGGCTTCCCCCTGATTCTTCTGTATCCCCCATCACACTGATCCAAGCCTGTCGGGTGAAATGGTACTAGAGGGGCAGGGGCCCTGTTGAAGGATTTAGGAATGCCCAGCAGGGCGGGAGCAGAGGTAGGAGAGAGGGTGCTGAAGGGGCGGAAAGAAGCAAGGATAGGGCTCCAGGAGGGACGGGGGCCCAGATGTCCTGTGGGAGGCAGGACCTAAAGCTGTCATACAGGCTATGGTTCCTGGAGCTGGTCAGCTGAACAGGGAGTGACAGAGGGGCTCATTTGGCAGGTTAAGTAGCTTGCCCTTGACTGAGTCAGGTCCCCAACTCTGTTAGAAAAGTTCTTCCTGGCCAGCGGGGTCCTTGCAGTCCTGGGTCCAAGGCCAGCCTGCCTGGGCCTGTAGGGCAGGACGCAGCTCCAGACCAGGGCAGTGCGGGTGGGGGCCTTCTGGATGTAATCCACTTTCCCACCCTCGGCCCAGGCGCTAGCCCCTTGGGGCTTTGTCTGTTGGTTTGTTTGGCTGGGGGGAGACAAGGAAAGAGGCCCCAGTCACACTAAATCCTCCTCAGCCCTTTATGCTGGGCCCCCAGCTGGATGGGGGAGATGGCATCTGGCCAGCTAAGGGGCTCAGCCCTCACAGCTAATTGCTCATTAAAGAGCGTTAATGAACTTCCCTTAGCCCCATCCTTGCCTAAACCAGCGAGGCTTCCCTACTTCTCGCTGCCGTCACTGGTTGAAGGAGCCGGTCTCTCTCTGTGCCCTTCACCTGGTGGTCAAGTCTCGCGGGTCTGACTCTGGGCCCTGCTTAGCCAGCAGGTCCTAGGGTTGAGAAGTCCCTCGGCACCCAGTGTTCCCCCTCCTGCCTGGACTGACTTTTTGCCCATGACCGTTATCCCCCACCTCCGCCCCACTTTGCCCCAACACTTACAGCTTCTCCAGCAGGGACAGTCCCAGGAAGGATCCATTCCGCAGCCCAGTAATCTTGTTGTTGCTCAAGAGCCTGAAGGAACAGAGAGAACACAGACAGGAGAACGTGCTGTTACAAGCCAGAAAGTGTGGCTGGAGCGGGGATGAGGTTTCACCACTACAACCATGTTGCTTTCTGTGTAAATGGTGCCCCCTTTCTTGTAAATGGTGCAAGACAGGAGCCCCACCCCCTCCAGGAAAGAGCCAGGGAATGGTTCAAGCAGATTGGTTAGCCCGCTGAGCCCCAAATTAGATATTTCGCCTGCCCTGGGTTCCCTGCCATGGCCCGCATCTGACTCAGGACTCTATGTAAGTGGGCTGAACAGGTGTCAAGTTGCAATGGCCCCTTTCCACCTTAGAACCACTGCCCGAGCCACAGCGCCCTCCTCCTGCCCTCCAGGGCTCTTTCTCAGTCTTCAGCCCCATACCCTGAGGAGAGTGGTAGGGGGAATGGTCTGAATTGGGTCAGGGCTCTGGCAGGTGGAACAGGAGGTCCAGTAGGTATGGAGGCAGGTGGGAGGAGCTGCCCATCCTTGGGCAACACTCTGTGAGCCGAGGACTTCACAGGAGGGGACTGTTCCCAGCCCTCGAAGGCCCCCAGCTCAGAGGGACTGCATACCCTTGCCTCCCTAAGCCTGGCTTAGGCCTCGACAGAAAACCGATAGAGCCCTGTGCCTGGTGGAAGCCCGGGCCTTGGCCTTTGCCTCTGCCCACTCTGAGTTCTGTTTATTTATTTGTATTTAGAGGGGGAGGAGAGGGGCCCCAAGCTACTGACTAAACCCACTCTGCCCACCCACTTAGCCTTTCTCTGCCAGACTCCCTCCCTGGGAGGAGGAAGGTCCAGACCAGCCAAAGGGCTCATCCTTTGAGTTAATTGCTTATTAAAATGCTTTAATGAGCCTCTCAGCCCAAACTCTTGCCTGCTCTGGGCTGAAACAAAGGGTTTCACTTCTTTGCTCCTATTGGTGGACATGGAAAGGCCAGAGTTGTAGGTCTGGAATCTTCTCTCGAGTGGGCAGCCTCTGGGATGGACAGTAAAAGAGATCTTGGGGGACGGGGGTGGGGACAAGGCATGCTAGCAGCTGTCAAGAGTTCTGCCCACAAGCTTACTGGAAGTGGGTAGGTGAATATATCAAGACAGGTGTGAGATGGCCCCAGACAGCTGACATTCCAATACTCCACCTTCAAGAGGCTCATGGAGGACAGACAACGGCCAGGATGGAGGCTAGAGTGGAAGGGGGCTCCCTCCCTTCCCTGCTCTCCAGATAGACCCCTCCCACCCTTCTGGTCCCCAACTAAGGGTCCTTTCAACAGTGACACTTCCTAGCAGGGCCTGAATAGTGACTGTGTGAAAGCGTTGCGGGGGAGGGGATGCTGGGTTTCCAAAGGGCTCACACACACACACACACACACACACACACACACACCCTTGACATTTCAAAAAGTACATCACAGTTGTCATTATATGAATAATTAGAACTCACATTGACCCCTTTATTCTCATTTTATGGATTAGGATGATTTTAAAACTTTAAGAAGTTTACTTATTTATTTTGAGAGAGAGAGAGTGAGCAGGGGAGGGGCAGAGAGAGAGGGAGAGAGAGAGAATCCCAAGCAGGCTCTGCACTGTCAGCATAGAGCCTGATGTGGGGCTTGAACGCAGAAACCAAGAGATCATGACCAGAGCTGAAACAAGAGTCAGACACTTAACCAACTGAGCCACCTAGGTGCCCCTGATTGATTAGGATGATTTTAAATCGCATTACACATGGTGGTTATAAATCATAAATAATCTTGTCAGTTCTTAGGGCCTCTAATGGTCTCATTTAGGCCCTGGTGGGGCTACAGGGGCTCCCTCTGTGGTGACGGGCTCTTGATGGTGTGACTTTTAAATCAAAGCCCACCTCGCCTCATCTCTTGTTCATTCCCTTCGTATGCTCAGAGTTTGAGGTTTAGAGGTTGCATTAAATGTCAGAGAAGGTGAGAGAGGACCCCTCGGTGTTTTTAGAAGTGTCAGGAAGAATAGTGGAGAAAGGGCATAGGTTTCAACTCCCCCCCCCCCAACCCCAAGGGTGTCCCCCAGGGACTGCCCCCTCCTTGGGTTTGTGGGGAATGGGATGCTGATAAGGCTGAGGGTACAGGGGAGGGGGAGGAGGAGGGAGAGGGTATGGTAGGAGAGAGAAACAGGGCTGCTGAATTATCACAAGCCTGTTCATGAAGGGGGAAGCCTGAGAACATTATTTCTCAAACTTGAGCAGAGACCTGTTAAAGGGAGGAACAAATATCTTCTTTCCTGAGAATATGTCTGAGGATTCTAGTTTGAGAAATATTGACTTTGGAAATGAAAATCTTACACTATGAAAATACCTTCTAATAATTATCTCAAAATTATCTGCAAAAGAATTTTGTTTAAATATCATTAAACAGAAAATTAAAAAAAAAAAAAGTCCTCCAACTCCCAAATCCCTGAGATTAAAACCTGGGATCCTAATTTGAGAATCCTGTCTAGACAGGTCTAAAGGTGGCGTTGGGGTGCACCCCACATTCTTCAGACTCTTCAGCCCTTAACCTTTGAACACATTTTGCATACCCCAAATTCTTTAACCCAGAGCTGGTCAATAGAAGTATAGTGTGAGCTGCATACATAATTTCAAATGTTCTAATAGCCACATTATTTTTAAGTTTAAAAATTAATTATAATAATATATTTTATTTATTTATTTATTTATTTATTTCAACGTTTATTTATTTTTGGGACAGAGAGAGACAGAGCATGAACGGGGGAGGGGCAGAGAGAGAGGGAGACACAGAATCGGAAACAGGCTCCAGGCTCTGAGCCATCAGCCCAGAGCCCGATGCGGGGCTCGAACTCACGGACCGCGAGATCGTGACCTGGCTGAAGTCGGACGCTTAACCGACTGCGCCACCCAGGCGTCCCTAATAATATATTTTATTTAACTCAAAGTATTAAAATGTTAGCATTTCAACATGCGATCGATATACAAAATTACTAATGAGACGTTTTCCTTTTTTCTGTTTTCGGTAGTCACACTTCGGAATCTGCGAGTATTCTACTGTTCCAGCATATCTCAATTCAGACCAGCCACCTTACAGGTGCTCAGGAACCACATGTGGCTAGTGGCTTAACCCTTATCCAGTTTCCTTGTGGCCAGCACCTCCCCAGGAGGAAGTCTGGGTTGCTTGAGAGATACTGAGGAAATTGTGTGTGGGGGGTGGGGGGGGGGAGTGTGTGGGGGCAGAGCAAAGGATTGGGGACCAGCCCAGAGTCAGGTGAGGATGAGCCTATGGCCCAGAAAAGGACCAACTCATCTCTTGGTGTCCTATCCCTCTCTGGCAGGGCCCCCTCTCTCTGAGGCAGCCCCTGTTGTGCTGGGGAGGTGCGGGGGCGGGGGGGGGGGGTCAGCTGCAGCCCACGCTTCCGGTTTGACTAGCTCGGTGCAAACGCTGTCTTGAAATGAGATACTTTTCTTGTAGCAGAGAACACGTCCCTGATCTCCCCCATACCCACTCTCTATAAGCCATTCATGAAAGCAGGGACACCAGGCAAACAGTGGTTCACCCACCCTTCTCCTCCCATGGGTCTCCTTCTTGCCATATTTCTAGTTCTTGGACAAACTTCAGGCAGATATCTGTATGATCCAAGTCCCCAAATACCCAGAATTGGATCTTTTGGTCTTTGCAACCTAGATGGGGCTGAGGAAATTTTGCTTTGGATCCAGGTTATCCAGAAAATGGCTTCGGCTGTGCTTGTTGGTTCAGTTCTCAGGGGGTGCCCTTTGTGAGTCTGGTGGGGTGGAGAGGGCAGTGATTTGGGACAGAAAGTGCTTGGGTCTTGTCTTGGGCAAGTAGGAAGCTGGCAGTTAGTAGGGGTCGAAGAAGACACGCACAGCCTCTTCCAATGGGAAGAAGAATGTTCCCACCACGCTAGGTTGTCTCAGGGGACAGAAACAGGCCAGGCGGCCCCAGCAATCAGGCAGGGAAGGATCGGGAGCCTTGGCCCATGGTTCCATCCAGCCTCACAGACACAGTGCCAGCTTGGGCCCATCTTAACCGCCCTGCCACCCCTACCGGACAGATACTTCCTCAGCCTGCCCCAACCCCTCGCCCTGCAACAGCACAGGGAGCCTGCCAGGTGGATCTCCTTCCCAACCACGCTAGCCCCGCTGCACGGACCTGTGGCTCACCCAACCCGGCCTCTCCAGCTTTTCTTCCCTCCCTCCCCGTCTACCACTCCGACATCGTCACATAGTCCCAGGAAGGGGGGCCAGTCCCTGGAGTCCCCTGTTCTCTTACCCTAGGGTCTGAAATCTGGCCAAGGAGAGGGGGCACACTGAGTCTATTCCAGAACTCTCTCCCAGCCAGGGTCCTATTTTAGGGAAGAGGAGCAAGCAGTTACCGCTAACGAGGCTGGAGGCCAAGGGAGCGAGTGGCTGGCGTCTACAGAGAGGCCCTGTGGCCTTTGGGCAGCCACAGGAACTCACCAGATCCCAGCCCAACATCAGAGATGACCCCGTAGGGGTCATGTGGGCACCACTCCGTGGGACATGGGGCCAACACATGCCTGAACCAAATTGTTCTATCAGATGCAGGAAGAGTCATACATGTCATACCCCGCTCCTCCACCGGGTGAGGACCACACGTCTGGACACTTGGGGAATCTGTGCTCTCCGGGGAGTCTGAGCCTGGAATTCGGACCATCCTCAAGGCCCTCGGGGCTCAGGAGGACCTGTCTCCAACATCTGTTGCTGGCACCTTGGCAGTGTCTTAGGGACGCCATCAGTGAGGGATCTCAGGCCCACAGCCACTCTGAACGGTCAAGTGGAACCAGACTCCCAGCTCCTTCTGCGGGCACAGTGCCCAAGGCCTCTGAGCACTTCCAGGGCCCACAAAGATGTCTGAAAACGAAAAAATAATCACTGCCTCTGAGATATAAATGCTATAAAAAGCAAAATTGACATTAACAAACCCTTAACTAAATAACAACCAAATGTCCTACTATGTCGATTAGCAGTG